GAACCTTTACTTGGAACCTCGGAACCCTCACTTGGAACCTTCGGAACCTTCACTTGGAACCTCGGAACCCTCACTTGGAACCTCGGAACCTCAGGGAACCTCACCGGATGACTGCCCCACAGTGCCCCAGTGCCTAGTTTGGCTGAGACCCCAAGCTTCCGCTGTTGGGGAAAAAGAAAATTTAAATTAGACATGTAATGACACCTTATTAACACGCATATTAAAATAATGCGAATTAGTGTTGACCTGCCTTGGCTAGTCGTGTGATGCACACCCCTTGATGGAACATGAAGGATGCGAATGAAGATCCCAAAAAGGAGGCCCCGGACTAAAACTCTGGACCTAGATCTTGATTCCAAATGACTTGTATACATTGATATGATTTAAACATCATATCTCGAGCGCTCTGAATCTCAAGCGGCCACTTCAAGGCGCTACCTTGCTTCGCCGACAACTAAGGCTCGCGAGAGCAATAGTCAGTTCCGAAGATCCAGAATTACTGCAATTAGACCTTTGGTGCAAGTATGTGCAAGTAGACCTCAGCTGAGGGACCAGAACGAAAGGGTCCGAGTCCGAGAAAAATAAATGTTGAACACGCGCACTAGCACTTTACAGGAAGATGAGTGTAACAGCTTGAGAACGCCACAAATTGAAAAGCAGGTACGTCAGTTCTGCGTCCAGAACTGATATCCCCACCGTGTATTGCCAGCTTCATTGGTGGAGAAGCAATACAGGTGTCTCAACCCCCTGCTGTGACTGTACAATTAGAAGTAAACGAATTACAAAGGAAAGAAGAGGACTTTTTTGCAGTGTGTGTGTGTGTGGATTCCTAGGAACAGGGTTTGACACACACACACACACCGAGAAGAATGAGAGGGTGCCTTCAAAAAGGGAAGATGTGGCGGTCTGGTCTTAATTTTGGACAATCGACAATCTTTCTCTTGGGACCCTGCCATATTGGAGAAAAGGGACACCAGCAGGAAGAGTGGAGCAACCTGAGCAACAAGCGGATCGGAGCCTTCATGCAGGGTCATCGATGAACACCTTCTTTTGGACAGAAAACTTGTTCAATCAACATAATCAACCCAATAAACCACTCAAACGAGGTCCCAGCCGTGGTGACGGGCGCCAAACAGCCAGCTTTCCACCACATCAAGACCCCAAGTACTGGGCAGCACGCTGGGAGACGGAGATTCCTGCCTTTGGTAGGCCTCCAAGAAGCCTATAGCAGTAGCAATGGCCTCCAACCTCCTTGCGATGGCATCCAACCTAATAGCCATAGCCTCCAACCTAATAGCGATAGTGGTAATGTTGGATCCTGATTAGTAAATAGGGCCCCCCCCCCCTCCCTCAAACAAACAGGAGGTCCTCTATAATAAACTATCACCAAAACAAATCTGGATTCCTGGTGAGGGATCTTTTGTAATTGATTGTAGTATTCATTATCCTTTTGCTTTGCAGCCTCAGTACTTCAGCTCAAGAGAAGCCTCAGATCTTCAGCTTTCATGGCTTCCTTCTCAGATGAAGTCCTGGTGAGGGATCTTTTTGGTTCTGAGACCTCTTCTGTTGCTTGGTTCTGGTTGCCTAGAGAAAGCTATATCAGCTAATGAATCATAATCATTGGCCTCA